CGCACCCCTGCCACAACAGTCCTGGGAGAGAGGTAGACTTACTGGTACGGGGCAGGCCTCATTTTTCCCCTCACTATGAAAGTAGGTTGGTTTGGTTTAGGGTTGAAGGTTAATAATAATAATACATCTTTGGTGTGTGGTGCATTGTAGGCTGCGGTGGCGCAGAGGGGTAAAGAGCTGGTGCTGATGGGGAGAGCCTGGTTATGGTGGGCCACCTGGCTGCACACCACGGGAGGAGTCAGCCTGCAGGCAGCCGCGTGCTGGCACAGCTAGTCAGCGGCTCTCGCTCTTCGTTTGGAGAGCTCAGCTCTCTTCACAGAACTGATCCCCGCACTGCGGTGTGCGTGGCCGCTGTCGCTGGTGCGTGGGTAGCGGGATGAGCACGCCAAGGGCCTACGCTCGAGGAGCATTTCTCGGACTTGCCCTTTTGCCAGTAGCTCTGCATCAGGCCCAGCTTCCTTCAAGCACAAGGATGGACAAAGAGGGCCTGAAGCTGGCGGCTTCCTTCAGCCTGGAGAAGGAAGGCTAAGGGGGAACTACTTGCAGTCTTCCACTGTCTTAAAGGAGTTTATAGAGAAGGCAGGGACAGACTCTTCCCAGGGGGGCACAGAGAAAGGACAAGAAACAATGGGCTCAAGTACTACCACAGGAAATTATGGTGGGGCGTAAGGAACAAATTTGTCATGGTAAGAGCAGTTAAGACATGAAACAGGTTACCCAGAGAGGTTGTGGATTTTCAGCTTGCTTGGACAAGACCCTAAGCATCCTCATCTGGCTTTGAGTTCCTGCTTTGAGTGAGTTTTGAACTAGGTGGCCCCCGGAGGTCCTTTCCAACCTCAATTAACTTACGACTCTCTGATTCTAAGAAGAGGTCCACAGGAAGAAAATGTGGGGATGCACTGCACAATTCACTCTGCAATGTGCAGTACAGAGATTCCCTCTGGCAGTAACAGAACTATTCAATGGGTGTGGTGGTGAACCAATTTATGTAACCCTCTTTTACCTCTTCCATTGTAGCAGCTTCCTCTTCATTTCCTGAGACATTTTGCACTGGATTGTGAATTCGTTTCACTCCTCCCTTTGTTATGAAATAATGTAAATCTTTTGACTTTAAAGCATATTTCAAAATGGTTTGATCAAAAAACTCTGCAGGAAGGAGAGGAATTTGGTAGAGGGGGAATTGGTAGAAATGTTACACGGTTGTCTTCGGCGGAATGTTTAGGATAACAGTTTGTCAACTCTGTTCTTAAACTTTGTCAAAGAAGTTAGCCTCTTACATAGGAAGTCCTTTTGTGCAACCCGAAACACTGTGCCCAGGATAAAAGTGCATTTTTGTCTAGTGCTCTTGTAACTGTTTGTTGTGTTAGAATAATTTCAGCAGGCACAGAAACCTTGCAGAAAGATCGTGAGTTTCCCAACATTGTGGTCCGGAAAAGGTTTCTACTTTCCAGACTTTCCGTTCTTTAAGTTCTCGTTTCAGGATGGTAGCTCAATTGTGTGCTGAGCTGGTATTACTGAGAGTCGTTCACATTATGTGAGATAATTTGTACAAAAAGATGGTTCAGAGTTTAGTGCAGGACTTTGAAGAAGCAGCTGTTTAAAGCCTCAGGGCAGGGAGAAAGAATGAGATGAGTGTGGAGTAAAAAGAGAGAGATTTAACTCAGGAGAAGACAGAAGATCTCAAAGAAATATAATTTGGGAAGAAACAAAGCTTTAAAGTACAAGTGTTTACACTGAAACACTTGTTGACATATTTCATTTCCTTTCTCTAGCTAAATAATAAAAAAAAAAAAATCAGTATTTGATCCCACAGTTGGTGTCACTGGATTTTTTTAATGGAGCTACAACTTGTTTAGTATAGGCAAGTACATACAGCTCAGTGCAGGAATGTTGTAGTAGTCTAAGCACACAGGTGCTCCTGAGAGACTGCGTGACATCAGATCACATAAGGAGCTTGAACCAACTGAGGACATTTGAAAGCCACTGTCACTCAAAGTTCCATTAGTTATGCAAAATAGTATCCAATATCAACTACATTTTTTTTAAACTACTAATGAAATTAGTTTGTAAATATGTTTTTGTCATGTAAATTTATGTTTGCTTTTTTTTTTCTTAAGGGGATGACGTAATCTTTGAAGATGAAATTGAAGCATTGCAAGTACAAGTGAATAAACTTACTGCTATGGGAGTGAACAAAATAATTGCACTAGGACACTCTGGTTTTACTGTGGACAAGAATATTGCCCAGAAAGTGAAAGGAGTGGATGTTGTAATTGGAGGGCATACAAACACATTTCTCTATACAGGTATTTTACTTCTTACAAAAATGTTGCTTCTAAAGCAAAGCTGAAACAGATTGTTTCTGTTTAAACTTGGAGGACCTTCACAAAGGTAGTTTACTGCTGGCTGTGCTGGGCCAGATTCATAGCTGGTACCTATCCATAACTTCCACAGAATTGTTTAAAACAGTCTGTGAGCGAGAAGTGTCCTGACTTCCTGAAGTGTCCCTTAATGTTGCGGATGTTCAAGGTGACCTATAGACAGAGGAACAAAGGTAGTAATACCGGTAAATTACTGCCAAACATATTGTACCTGTTTCAAGCTCAGACATATAAAGGAGTAAACAAGATGTTTACATTTAACTTTGTATGTGACTTAACAAAAAAAAAACAAAAAAAAAATCAATCATGTGAGACTTCAGGAGTGATACCAATGTTGATTTTCTGTAGAATCTGATTCTGTATTCATGGGTCTCCATTTGCCCTGTTCCTTAAAAACTTTTCCCAAGTTCCCTCTGTCTTTTTCAGTCCCTCTAATCTCTGACTTTCTTCTTCTTTCCCCTAGAGATAGACATCATTCCAGAGATAAACATTGTTGATCTGATTTCTTCTGCAGCAATGCTACTTTGGGCAGAACCTGCCATCAGCAGCTTCTCCACTGCTGCTGCCTTCCCTGTGCCAGTATGTAACGACACAAGTAAAAGAAAGGCTGGGGTTTTTAAAACCATCAAGGGTAGCTCATTAAATTTAGCAGAAACTTCATTAACTGGTTGCGAGTATAACAGGAACTCTCTGTAATTTTCAGCAAAGTTTCCCTTGTGCTCCAGTCACAGGGGTAGTACCACGTACCCTAGGAACTTCACCACTTAGAAGTTTTGCACTGTCTGTTTTGTCCTCTCCTCTTCCTACTCATCTCCTCTCACGTTCTGCCTTTTTTGTCTCATCCAGGCTCTCACTGTTTACTATCCCACTGCTTAAAGAGAAGCAATTGCATGCTACAGTTACACATTAAACAGTTCAGAATAGCTCTTGAAGTTGGCCTCAGGGAATAATTTATGACACAAAGCACTTACACACCTACAAGTCAAAGGCCGCAAGCACTTAGCATAGGGGTGCAGCAGAGCACTGGCCAAACTGGAACAGATGACAGGACTGACCATCCCAACGCCTTTTCTCCAAGAGTGACCAAAGGGGAATGGTGAGGGAAGGGCGGACAAGCCTGTAGAGACGCTGTACTCAAATCTGCCCCTTCTCCCACCAGCTTGCAGTTCAGAGGCTTCCCCGAACTTGCCCCATCTCCCTTTGAGCCCCTTCAGCCTTTCGCCTTCACAACAGCCGGTGGCAGGGAGTTCCACCGCTGACCTGCACATCCTGCGGAGATCCTGGTCTTTTATCTGTGTGCAGCCTGCTGCCCGCGGCCCGCATTTTTCAGCAGTTGTATTAAATTATTTTGAGATGGGAAAATCAAGGATGCACACAGTATTCCAAGTATGCATTCATGATGGGTTTACACAGTGGAATCCAGATTCTTTTGCACAGGCTTGTTGGTCAATGCCTGTAGGGAGTTTGTACCTGGAAGTGGTGGCCATAGTAGTCAAAATGCCTTATTGGGTGTGGTCCAAAGAGGTGCCACTGTTCACAATTTGGAATCATGATCTGAAGTGCTCCAGGAGTTGAGATATCTGAGTTCATATCCTGTCTAGATCTGTAGGAGTTCACATGCAGATCTCTTGTCATCCCAGAGAGTACCCTGCTGTCAGACTAGACTAGGTCAAGCTGTTCTAGCTCTCACCTTTGAAGCTGTTCAAGATTCACAAGGCCAGAGACGGCACACGAGATGGGACTCTGCAGGCTTCAGGTTAAAGACCTCAGCTGGGAGTGGGTTCTGCTCTGTTTTCCAAGGGCAGTACTGGTTTTTATTAGACAGTCTGTCTAATAAAAGACAAGTCTGTCTTTTATTACCACTGGAGAGTTGAGAAAAATAAAAATTAAGTCGAAATATCTGGGGAGATACACCAAAAAATATGTATCCACTTAATTTAGTCAAAATACGTTTTTTTGACAGAATATGGTCTGAGTCTATAATTTTTATTCCAAGTGCTGAGCAGCACTTGCTGATCCATCCAGGAGCACCGTTTGTGAACCACTCCCTTGTGAGTCAAAGCCATCAACGAACAATCACAATGAAATAGCCACATCTGTGGAGGGGATTTGGCTGCAGAGTAAACCATCTAATTTTCAGTGTCTCTGTGTGTGTGCATATGTGTACATTAAACCTATAAGCTCTCATTTAAATTGAGATGTAATCAATAACTGGCAGCAGAATTTGGATCTAGTTTCAGCTCAGTCTAAGTGGAAACGTACCAGCTGGTTAGCTGAATCTCTGGCTGTCATGGGAGTTGAGAGACATACTGCCCATGCAGACACGTCCATAGAGATATCTTAATATAAGGGCCTAATCTTGGACTAGTCCAACCTATCTGTCTCAAAGACATTGCAAACCTCTGGTTTATCCACAGATTATGTGGCAAATGTTGTCTTGACCTGTTCAGGTGTGCTTTGGGTCTGTAGAACTGATTCAGACAGTAATGGTAGTTTTAGGTTAGAGCATTTTAATTTCTAGTTTTCATCAGAAAGGATGTTCTGAGAACATAGTTTATTGGCTAAAACAAGGTAAGAAAATAGGAAAGTGTTACAGGTTCTTCAGTTAGCCAGCACGAATTTGTGCATTTGTAGTGAAACGGCATGTCACACTTGGACTGAGATGTGTGCATGAGTTCCAGTGCTGCTTTCCTTTTTGAATTCCAAGGAGCTTTCTTTGGGGATGAGATGCACCGAAAAGTCTTTTCGTTTCAGAAGGAACACATCTATCTTAAAACAGAATAATGTGGTCATGATAATTAATGCTGCAAGAATGTGTCAGAAAGTATTTCTTCAGAAAGCAAGAAACAAATAAGGCTCTGGACAAGCACTTCCCAACACACAGCTGGTATAAACTAAAGTGATGACCAGAAAGCATAGCTTCTCTTGCTAATGGTTTGTTCATTCGAGGATTACACAAGGGCAAGAGATCAAAACTGATTCCTTTTTCAATTCCAGGAAACCCCAAGCCACTTTTGCATGCATAAATCCTGCAAGGTTCTCTCTCATTAGCTACGGGATTTCTTAAATTCTTTCCCAAATAAATATCTAATATTGAAGAGGCACCATCAAGTAACCAACTCTGTCTGTCAGGCTGAAAGCAGAAAAACTATTTCTCTGGTAAATTTGGTTCAGCTTATAGTTTGTTACAGCTGTTCTCCTCGGAGGGAAAGGGGTTAGAGATAAGGGTGTGTCATGGTTTGAGCCTACCCAGCTGGCTCCAAAAGCCCCCCCGCAGCTGCTCACTTACCCCTACCCTGTCCCCTGAGGGATGTGGAGGAGAAACTACAACCAAAAAGGCTTGAGGGTCGAGACACAGGACAGGGAGGGCTCACTCACCAGTTATGGTCATGGGCAAAAGACAGACTCAACCTGGGGATAACAACACACATTTAATCCAAAACAGCCACCACCATCAAGGAAAATGAGAGATACAACCAGGTCTTAACTACAACACACCTTCCCCTCTCCAGTCTCAGCTCTGCCACCTCTTCCCCCCG